AAGGGCTCCAAAGGCAAGGAGCGCATGCGTGGGCTCGATCTGCTTCGTGAGCAATTCCACCGTGAGAAATTTCACATCATTGGCATACAAGCAGGAAGGAACGAGCGTTCACTCAAAGGCCATCGCAGCCTCTCGCACATGAGGATTGCTGTTGGGCACGAGAACCACAGCCTAGGAGTGGAGCTCTGGGCCGACCTCGACACCCCCTACGGCACGCTAGGAGGCAAGGAGCTCAGGTTTCAACCGCAGCATTTTCAAGCTCTGGATGCCACGCCCAGGATCCTTATCGTAAAAGTCAATGCGCCAGCCTTCCAGCAAACGATATGTGTGGCCCACGCCCCACATAGGGGGGCGCGTGTGGCGGACCGAAAGGGGTTTTGGGATGAGCTTAACAGGAAGTTGGACATCTGGCCATGTGACATTGTGTGTGTTGACGGCAACGCCGCAATAGGTTCGGTGCAATCTCAATGGGTAGGCAACGCGAGCCCAATAGAGCAAGAGGATACGAGTGGGAGCTTCATGCATAATTGCCTCAGGACCAACAAGCTCGCGGCCATCAACACTCTTTTGCACCCCACAGATGGAGGACACACTTACGTCTCCCAGAAAAGAGAGCGGGGTAGGCTTGACTGCATCCTGCTGGCCGAACCTCTTGTGGCCACGGCCCAGTCATGTAAGGTGCTTTATGATTTGGAGGCGTGTCGTAAGCACGATGACCATTTTCCCGTGATGGCCCAACTTGCTTGGGATGCCCAAGTGGCAGGCCCCCCCAAAGGTGAGAGGCCCATTGACCCCATCAAACTTAGGGACCCCAAGCTCCAATATTTGTTCGCTCAAGAGTTGGATGGATTTCAGCTTGATGATTGGAGTGTCAATCTCAATGATCAGTACACCAGGACTGCGGATTTTGTGAGGAAGCTAGGGCAGACCACCTTCGGTAGAGAATCCAAGAGGGTCCGTAAACCGTATATTCGACCCGGAACGGTCCAGCTTGTTTGGGTCCGACGGGCGCGTCGCAAGGTACTAAAGCATGTCAGGGACACATTAGTTTCTGAGGCGGTGGGTCATCTCTTTGCGCTTGCATCTAAAGTAGCAGAGGGAGAGCTCAGGGGGGATATGGCTGACGCTTTCCCCGCCGACCCCCCCCCCTGTTTGGGGTGCCACGGACGCCCCCAACAGAGCTTGCAATGGAGATGGCGCCATGCTGTCTCGAACGATGACCGCGGTGAGAGAATGTTGGAATGTCGTGCTCACGGAGGCGCAGGCCTTCGTGGATAAACGGACCCAGCCCGAAGAATTTACGCTGGCCATTGTGGGGTTCGTGCACAGCACGCAGCCCTTACTGCGAGAGCTCATAGATCATGATTTGTGCGCCCTACTTGAGCAGCAGAGTGAAGGGATCAATTTAAGCATATATGCCAAACTCCCACGCTCTGAGTGGACCAAAGTTAAGCGCTTGCTCATGCTAGGAGGCAAAAGATCCAAGAAGCAAGCTTTTTTCCCGCTCAGAAAGGCACCAGATGGCACTATTCTCACCACGCTGGAAGCGCAGGCTGACGATCTCCAGCGCCATTTTGGCGAGATTGAGTTCGGCTTGGATGCTCAGCCAAGTGACATTGCTGCAGCCTGCAACTCGGCTGCGCCAGCTCCGCCGACTACCACCACCAGAGAGGTCAAGAGACTCCTCACCAAGGGAGCTCTGCAAAGGGCCCTGGCCAAGGTCCCTGCAGGCAAAGCCACGCCTGACAATATCGCGGGGGATCTTCAGCGGGTTGCGCCAAAAGCTCTGGCGAGGGTCTGGCACCCAGTGCTGTTTAAAGCCAACCTGATCGGCACCGAGCCATTGAGGTTCAAGCAGGGAGTTGTCGTGGGTATCCCCAAGGGCCCAGATGGGCCCTATGCTTCGAGCAGAAGGAACATACTGCTCACCTCGACTATCAGTAAAATTTTATCACAAACACATCCGCGCGCAGGTCCAGGCGGTCATGGCCATCTCACTGGAAGCATCCCAGTGTGGAGGCAGAATAGGCATGGGGACGGATTCTGCTACTCACTTCATAACGGCTAAGCTGCACATGCACATGGGGGCAGGCAAGAGCAGCATAGCGCTTTTTGCAAACTTAAAGGCCGCTTTTTACATTGTGATCAGGCAAAGTCTTTGCAATATGCCTGCCGAGAGAGAGGATTCTGAACTCGCGCTAAGCAACTTGCCTGTCCATCCTGCACTAATGCATGCGGTGCATGCAGCATCTTGCCCAGACGCCTATCTTAGAGCAGTGCTCCACCAGTGAACATCCCAATGCACTTTTTTTCGGCGGGCCTATCCTCGGGATTTTGGGCGTGCAAGAACGCCAAAGGGTTTAAGAAACCCATGCTGGGAACCAAACCTGGGACGGCCCTAGCGACTGACGCTTTCAACTACGTTTTTTCCCCGATGATTCGGGGCCTCCAGGCCAGGCTTAAGGAAGAAGGGCTCACGTGGAAGCCAGATTTGGAGCCAGGGGCCGTTAGGTTTGCGCAAGAAACGGATTTAGACCATGCCCATGATACCATCTCTTTCGTTGATGATCTCACTGTACTCTGTGCCATCGACCAGGCGGCTGATACACGAGCTGCGCTTGTGAAGGCCACCGAACATTTGGCAGAAGTGACGTTTAACAGCGGATTGCGGCTCAATCTAAGTAAGACCGCGGCGCTTATCATTCCTGTGGGACCAGGCACCAAAAAGGCTCAGCAGGAGTTTTGGGGTCCCCAGGGCCGAGATGTGTACATCCCATTCCCTTAGAGCGTCTGTTCAAGTGAAGCGAACTGTCAATGCCCTGGGTACCATGGTCAACGATCGTCTCGACATGTCGGATGAGATATCCTACAGGATAGCCTCGGTGGCCAGTGAGGTGCGGCCAATTCAGCGCACCCTTGGGCCTCGGAAGAAGCTCAGGCTTGATCTGAAAGTCAGATATGCGGAAAGTTTCGCCCTCACGGGGCTTTTTTACAATGCTTCCATCTGGGGTCAGCTCAGCACACGACTCGCCAAAAAAAACCTTCTCAATGCTCAGATAAGGCCCTACAGGGCCGCCCTGGGACTGTCGATCAGCAATTCTGACGTAGGACACATTGCACACAAGGACATTTTGTCACAAGTGCACAGGATGGAGGCCAAAGATGCGCTGCGGGTGGCGCGCCTCAGGTACTTGCCCAGGCTGCTGCGTCAAGCACCGCCAGCACTCAGAGTTGCCATTGAGTTTCTTTTTCAAGAAAACAGCGGCTGGCTAGTGCAAGTGGCAGACGATCTCAGATGGATGACTCCGCTTTGCCTCAAAGGGGAGCTGCGGCACCAGGCGTCCTTACTGTGCTGGCTCACGGAGGCCAGGACGGAGCCGCGCACATTCCTTCGACGAGTGGCCAAGGCGGCCGCCAGAGCGCAGCATAATTTTGAAGAAGATTATCGAGCGATGCAGCTTGACAGGCACATCCAGCTCATCCAGAATGAGAGGCCCACTGCTAACGAAGTTCCAGAAAGCACTGTCACCATGTATGTGTGCTACGAATGCGGCTTCGCGACAGAGCAGATCCGGACTTATAACATGCACATGGCTAGGCAACACAAAAACATGAGGGATCCGATGTGCTGGGCTGCAGGCGCGGAGTGCCAGTGCTGCAGGAAACAATGGCATACCCCGAACCGCCTTCATGTTCATTTAAGAAGGTCCCACAAATGCAGATTGGCATGGGACCAGGCCGGATACAAGGCTGGGGAGGAGGAGATGCAAGTCTGGAGGGATGCTGGGAGAGAGGTGCAGAAGAAGAATCGCAGCAAAGGTAAGTGTGATAATTGGGCGGAGTTCCCCCCCGTGCAGCTCTTTGGACCCTCGTTTTGTAGAGAGGCTCACTTGGGGCCTCTGGAACCTCCCTGCCTCCCTCCCACTGTGTGCGTCCCCATCCCAAAACCTCGGCAGAAGCCAAGCCCCACTGACCCAGGACCGAGCAAGGAAGGGTTGGAGCCAAGGTCTATCTTCTTGTGCCTGTACACGGGAAACAGGCACGACGGTGACTTTATTGAGTCACTTGAACGAGAATTGGCGAACAGTGGAAAAAAGGGCCAGCATTCTCACCTTAGGGGATCAGGAAGGGTGGGGACAGCTTGCGCTGCCACACGTGCTACGCTTTTGGGCTCAGCTCATCCAGGACGGTTTTGTTGGGGGGCTTTGGGCTGAGCCCCCCAGAGGTACCTGGCAGGCTGAGGGGGCCCGTACTCGTCTGCCGCGGGACCCCAACTCTCCTTGGGGAAGGAGAGCCCTCCGTGAGGTAGAGTTCACTCCCGTACGGGAGGATAATCGTGCTCTTAGGGCGGTGCTCTGGTTGACGCACGCCTGTCGTGGCGCGCAAGTACCATTTGGCATCATGCATGTCCCGTGGGCCAACGAAGCCTCGCAACCCACCATTTGGGGACTTAAAGAGGTGAGCATGCTTGAGGGATGTAGAGTGGATTGCGACGGGAGTAGCATTCTATTGTCTGGTGTGCATGCTTCCATCCCTCTCGTGTCCACTCTCCCGCCTCTTGCTTGCGTTGCCCTGGAATTCGCCGCTCTCATCCATTCTTCCAATCACCGTGACCTTGCCCCTGAGCTCACTGAGCTGGAGCTCGAGCTGGACCCTTATGGTTTGGAACCTCTGGGGGGTGAGGGTGATGAGGGAAACGACCTGCCAGCTTAGGTGTGGTGCGGCCAGTTTTTTAAATCCCCTTTACTGCCTCTGCTAGCTGCCCTCTCTCCACTTAATCCACTGTGATAGGCTGCGTGACTCAGAGGCCTTCATCGACCGACCGACCGACCGACCGAGGAGGAGGAGGAGGAGGAGGAGGAGGAGGAGGATGAGGAGGAGGAGGAGGAGGAGGAGGAGGGGGAGGGGGAGGACGAGAGGGAGGGGGAGGAGGGGGAGGAGGAGGGGGAGGGGGAGGAGGAAGGAAAGGAGGAGGAGATCAGCATCAGCAAGTGCACGGCCTGCGCCTGCCTGTTCTTCGTCCGCCTGGCGTCCGCGGCCTGCTCTCGTTCGCGCAGGGCAGACTGGTGGCGCTCGGTGATCATCTGCTCCTGCCAGGGAGGGTGGGGCGGAGGAGAACATTAGGAGAAAGGAAGGAGGAGGAGAAAGGAAGGAGGAGGAGGAGGAATGCAAGGAAGAGGCGACAAAGGAGGAGGAGGAATGGAATGGAATGGCATGGAATGGACTGGACTGGAATGGAATGGAATGGGATGAGATGAGATTGGATGGGATGGGATGGGATAGGATGGAATGGAAGCAAGTGGACAATGCGGAACGATCGCGGACTGATGGGGAGGACAAGGCAGGGGCGCAAGGGCAGGGTCGGGGGAGCGGGGAGGGCAGGGAGGGCAGGGCACGGAGCCATCGGGAAGGGAGCGAACGAGGAATGGAGGGCTCGCCGAAGGGAGTGGGGGGAGGGAGGGGGGGGGGGAGGGAGGGGGGAGGGAGGGAGGGAGGGAAGGAGGGAGGGAGGGAGGGCGTTTGAAGCGAGCGAGCGAGCGAGCCAGCCAGCAACGGTGCAGGCCAATGGCTAGCACCACGCTGAAGAGAGAGGAGGGCTGCGCTGCCAAAGCAGCACAGCAGGAGCAGCGATCGTGCCAGCCACCGAGACCAGCACGGCGCTCCGACGCAAGCCGGCGGCCGACCAACTGCCGACTGCCACAGCACACGAGGAAGAGCTCTAGTCGGAGCTCTCGTCGTCTCCTCGAGACGGAGTCCTGGTTGGCAGCACGGCTCGATGACCGTCCACCTTCAGGGACATGGGGCGCCTCTTTTAGCACCGTCGCCGAGCCCCGAGGGGCCCCGAGCGGGGCCGCGGCGGAGCCAGGAGCGACGGGCGCGGGCACCTGCTGGGCCCCCTGTGCCGGGCAGAAGGCGCAGCCCCATCTTGGGACGCAGGCCGAGCGCAGAATGTCTCAGCAAACCCAAGTGCGTGGCACGAGTATTCCCAGTCTCCGCAGCCCCAACGCACCTCTCTTTCAACAGCCTGCACAAGCCATCGGGCAACCCGAGGTAGGATGCACATGTCTGACGGGTGGCGACTAGGTCGTACCTGACGGGCACGTGTCCAAGTTCCTTTTAAAAATCAAGCTCCCGCATCCTGCGTCCATCTTGACCTCCTGCCCCAGGGGTCCCACACGGCCCCAAGACACTCGAACTCGAGACGTCGCAATTTCAGGGCACCCACATCAGAAGGCGGAGTTGATGTTTCAGGAAGAGAGGGGAATTTGATAAGTATGCAATGTAATGATGAGAGAAAGAGAGGGTCGGGAAGATGACGAACGATGAGGAGGAGGAGGATGAGAAATGACGATAGTGATGATGGTGATGATGATGGTGGTGGTGATGGTGATGCTGATGCTGCTGCTGCTGCTGTTGCTGCTGATGATGATGAGCATGACGATCATGTTGATAGTGAAGGTGATGGCGATGATGCTGTTCATGATGATGATGGTGATAATGACGATGGCGATGATGATGATGATGATGATGATGATGATGATGATGATGATGATGATGATGATGATGGTGATGATGATGATGATGATGATGCTGCTGATGCTGCTGATGCTGATGATGATGCTGATGATGGTGGTGATGGTGAAGATGATGTGGCTGATGAGTACGACGATCGTGCTGATGATGGTGATGATGATGATGATGATGATGATGATGATGATGATGATGATGATACGGGGAAAAGAAAGAGTAAGGACGTTGAGATGGGTGAGGATTATATGATGGTGATGATGATGGTGATGGAGAGGAGGGGAAGGAGGAGAGCGCGGGGATGAGCAGGCGGACAGGCGGTGTGAGCGACTGTGAGAACGAACGGTGAGAAGAAGCTGGGTAGAGAGCGGAGGTGATGAGGGAGGACGCGCGACGGGGATGAAACAGATGCGCGTACGAAGCAGTGAGCACCGATATAAAGTGAGTTGAACCGATGCACACACAACAAAAAATGTGGGTAAGTAAGGTGAGGAGCGGGAAAACAACAGTCAGATCCGAAAACAGAAACGCTGAAACCGCCGAGGCCTTTATACAGGCTGGCGCCCATCCTCCTCCTCCCTCCTCCCTGCTCCTCCTCCTCCTCCTCCTCCGACGACGACGGCGACGACGACGAGAGAGAGAGAGAGAGAGAGAGAGAGAAAAAAAGAAATCAAAAAAAAAGAGTGGGAGGGCTCCACGGTGCCAGATGTCACGAAGCGCCAGACGTGCACGGTGTCCCGTCGTTGCCCCTGTCGCCTCCCGCCCCGGGGAGCGTGGGGCTGCTGCGAGCGGGCGGGCTGCTCTGGGGAGGACAAGGGCGCCTCCCGTTTCTCCGCGCCCTCTCCCCTTGGAGGGTGGCGGAGAAAACGAGGCGGAGGACGAGGAAGAGGAGGCGCGAGCGGAAACACAAGGAGGAGGAAAAAGGAGGAGGAGGAGGCAAAGCATGGAAGACAAAGAGGAGGAGGAGCAGGAGGAGGAGGAGGAGGAGGAGGAGGAGGAGGAGGAGGAGGAGGAGGAGGAGCGAGCGAACAGGAGCGAGCAGGAGCGAGGAGGAGCGAGCAGGAGCGAGCAGGAGCGAGGAGCGAGCGAGGAGGAGCGAGGAGGAGCGAGGAGCGAGGAGGCGACGACCTGGGCAGCGCCGCCGCTCCGGAGCGTGGGCGGGCGCTCCGCCCGCGAAGCCGGGCGGCGTCAGCCCCGGGGGCCCGGGGCAGACGGCGCGGGCGGGTGGCCGGAAGCCCTGGCGAGCTGCGCCGGCGGCGCGCGCCCGAGGCCAGAAGCCGCTCTGCGAGCTGCGCTGGAGTGGCGCTCCCGAGGCCCAGACCCCCTCGCGTCATGAAAAAATCACGACGGGAGGTTTTTCGCTATCTTCGGCCTCAAAAGGCCCTTACCGGCCCTCGGGACCGTCAAAAAACGACTCAGGATGAAGAGCCGGTCCCAGGGAATTGGTCCAGACCGCTGGGGGTCGACGTCATGAAAAATTCATGACGTCGGGGGTCTGGGGGGCACGATGCCCCGCAGAGGGCGCCGGGCTCGGGTTCCCGAGGGCCAGGATGCCTCGACGGCCTTCGCAAGCCAGCTGGGCCGTCGGGTCCTCGCCTTCTGTGGCGGAGCGGCGGGTCCCACCTCCCAGCGTCGGCCTCGCGGCGAGCGCACCCCGGCGGCGCGGCCAGCGGCGCTGGGCGTGCGCCAGACGGGCACTCGAGCCAGAATGTTCCCGGTGGGGTCGGGCGGCTGCCAGGGGGAAGAGGTGGGGGAGCGCCGCGCTTTTTTATCCACTTCCCTCAGCGCCTCTCCTCGCGTCCGCATCCCTGCTGCGCCATGCTGGGCTCAGAGACACCGGCCACGTTGGCCGATGTCGCCTGTTCTGGACTGCCGCGAAGCGCAACTGCGTGTCCAGCGGCTCCTATCGCCCAGATGTCTCCGACGAGGCTCCCCGGCGGAGGCATGCGATGCCCGCCCCTGTGCTGTCCGCCCCTCTTGATTGCGCTGGTGGAAGGACGACGGCACGCCCTGGCGCGGCACCCCCAGCATGAGGTGCGCTGCGACAGCGCCCGGGGCAACATGTCACATGCTCCAGTCCACGGCCAGGGTCCGACACCAGGGCAGCACCAGGAACGCAGGGCGACAGAAGCAACCACGCCGAATGTGTTGCATGCCTTCTCTCTTGGCTTGTCCCTGCCGAAGGCGAGCTGCAAGTACGGAGAGCGTCCGTCGACCCGCAGATACCAATAACAGATCCCAAGGCCCGACTCCCAGAATACACCATAAGCACAGAAGCGTCAGAGTTCACCCGACGACTTTCTTGCACCTCCACCGTGACTCGCCAAGCGCCCAAACGTAATGCGCCGCGCCAAGACGGCGGTGCAGCTCGCGAGTGGGAGCGCGTAGTAAAGATCTGGCCAGACTGCCAAAGACATGTCTGCCGAACGCTCTCCTCTCTGCTCACGCACCGGCTGGTGCAAGGCTTACCTGACCTTGATCCACACAGACGCTCGCAGGGAAGGACAGGGCGCGAGCTACGAGCGGGCGGCGGGCACTGTATGAATCGACAGTCACGCGCACAGCTCCCACGCTCCTCTCCTGCAGCAGCACCCACCTCCTCGGACATCGCCTCTTGGGCCGTCCCGCCTGGCGCGTTGGCCCGCGCGTGCGCCGTGCTTGATCGAGAGCCGAGTTGAAAGAGACCTTCGAGCCGAGCGCAAGCAGGACATCTCAAACAAATGAGTCTGGGCTCCAGCACCAAATCGCGGTGATCAGGGCTCGAATCACTCGGTTCGAGCGGTTCGAGCTCAGCGCATGCAGGACGAACAAATGAGCCTGGGCTCCAGCACCAACTCTCGGTGATCAGGGCTCGAATCACTCGGTTCGAGCTCAGCGCATGCAGGACATCTCAAACAAATGAGCCTGGGCTCCAGCACCAAATCGCGGTGAGCAGGTCTCGAATCACTCGGGATTCTCTGGCGGCCAATGCTTTCCCAGGCAGGTCGCATCCTGCTCTGCGGAGCTGAGCGAGGGCTCTCAAATGAGCTCCTGCTTCGCAGGCGCTCGCAGGCTCCACCCAGGCGCTGGCAGGCGATTTCAAGCGCACTTACAGCGTTCCCAGGTTCCAGGACTGCATGCAAACAAGAAAAAAACTGCAAGAAACAGTCCTAAAAGTGGGTGCGGGCTTGGTGTGCATAAGCAGTTCAAAACAGCAGCTGCGGGGGGGGGGGGGGGCGGCGCCCATCCAGCGCTGCAGTGTGCACCAGAGAAGCCTGCTTGAGGTGTGAGACCATCCCCAGCTACAAACAAGCACCCCCTAAAGCCTCGCTCAACATCAGACAAGCCTGCCAAGTGGATTGTTGAGTCACCCACGCAGGCAGCATGGGGGCGCGAAGCTCTTCCAGGCGCCAAAGGGCCCGAACAAACTGCACAGTACCATTCGCAATGAGCAGCTCTGACCCGCAGCTCGACTGAACGAACACCAAAACCCAAACCCAAAGGCCAAGGGCGCCACCAACGCAGAGCGATGCCACCACGCTGCCATCCCAAGGTCAGCCAGTACCGAAGCTCGAGCACACCAGAGATGGCCACCAAGGGTAGCCCAATCGTGCAGCACTTCGCGGTCGGATTCACAGCGCAACATACCCGAAACACTGATATGCCACACAGAAGACAACACCTCACCGCCGATATCGCCGACCCAGCATGCCTAAAACGGGCGACCCATGATACACAAAATCTTCCAGAAATGTGCCCAAGACTGAAGAAACGCTCCTTGTGCGAGGTGGTCCGGTCCCCTCTTCTCTCCTCTTCCCTTCCCCTTCTTTCCATCTAATCCTCAGACTCCTCCTTTTCATCATCATCATCATCACCACCAACATCATCACCATCATCTTCATCACCATCACCAGCATCATCAGCATCATCATCGTCATCATCATCAACATCATGTTCATCTTCATCATCACCACCACCATCACCATCATCGTCATCAACACCACCATCATCGTCATCAACTCCACCACCATCATCATTATCATCATTACCACTATAATCATCAGTATCGTCATCATGATCAGCACCATCATCATACTCATAATGAGTATCATCATCATCATCATCAGCAGCATCATCATCATCATCATCGTCATCATCATCACCATCACCAACATCCTCATCATGATCAGCATCATCATCATCAGCAGCAGCTTCAGCAATATCACCATCATCATCACCAACAACAGCCACAACAATAACAACATCATCCAAATCATCCATCCCTTCCACCCCTCGTCTCTCTTTACCTATCCTCCTTCGTCCAAGGTCCCGTCTCACTCCTCCTTCTCCGAACACAACGAAAGTATTCACATACGTAAGGGCTGCAGCCACACAACTTCCTCCTGCCAATCCTCCTCCTGCTTCTCCAACTACTACTGAGTTACATTTTCCCCCTCCCTTCTCCGCATTCTCGTCTCCTCCACTTCCTCCTCCTCCTCGTCCTCCTCCTCCTCTTCTTTCCTCTCCCATTCTCCCTCCTCGTCGCTACACACCATGCGATGCGGCGGTGGCGATAGAAGGGCAAACCCTCTCCACACAGCAGCGGCTTCTCTGCGGCCCCTCCCGGCCTTGCGCGTCCAATGGCCTGGAGCTCGTGGCCAATGGCTTGCTCCTCCCGAGAAGCGGTTGCAGAAGCGAGCAGGAGGAGAAGCAAAATATGAAGCTGGAGCAGGAGCAGGAGACGGGGAGGAGACGGGGCGCGGCCTTCCGCGGCGAGGAGAGAGCGCTTCGCCGACGAGCTCGTGAGAGAGAGCCAGCGACCTGCCAAACCCCGGCCCGCGTGCGGAGCGCCGTGCCGGGCGCCGCAGGACTGGGGCTCCGCGCCGCCGGCGGAGGGGGTGGCCGAGCGCCACGCCCGCCGGCAGCCTCGCGGAGGAGGTGGCCGAGCGCCGCGCGGGCCCGGCGCACTGCTGCCGGCAGCTCCGCAGAAAGGTGTGGCGCCACGGGCGCACTGCTGCGCGCGGCAGCAGTGTGCCCGCGGGGGGCGGCTACCCCCGCGCCGTGGCGCCCAGGGCAGGCGGCGGCCCTCGAGAGGGCCAGCTCTGGCGTCGCGCGCGACGGCGAGGACGGCCTCCGCTGGCCGCGCGTGGCCGTCCGCCGCCTGGCGGCGGGGGACGCACTGGCCGCGCGCGCGGCAGCGAGGCGCCCAGGCGAGGAGGCGTGCTGGGCCGAGCGCGCCCGGCGCCGCGCCCGCAGCCCTGGCGAGCGCCCGACGGCGCTCGCCGCAGGGAAGCGGGGGCGCCTCGGCGGGCCTGGGCCCCGAGCCAGGCGCGCCGAGGCCGGCGCGGGCCTGCTGCTCAGCGTGCCCCGCTGCAGCGGCGGGCGTCGCCCCTCCAGCCGCGGCGCGCCGCCAGGGCGCCTGGCGGCCGCCGCTCGGCGCCGAAATCCGCCGCGCGAAGCGGCTGCCGGGCTGGGCGCGGCCTGCCTTTGGCGCGCTGGGCGGAGGTTGGCGGCGCGCTTGGCGGCGCGGAGGCTGGCGGCGGCGGGCGACGTCGACAGGCAGGCTCAAGCTCTTGCCGCTTCCCCGCCCGGCTCCTTGCAGGCGCGGTGCAGCGGCGGCAGCCGGGCGGGGCGCGTCGCGGGACAGGATAATGGTGATGATGTTGGTGATGATGATGCTGATGGTGGTGATGATGGTGATGATGATGGTGGTGGTCATGATGCTGATGATGCTCATGATGACTATGATACTGATGATGATGACCATGACGATGATGCCGATGATGCCGATGATGACAATGACGATGATGATGAGGATGATGATGATGATAATGCTGATGATGATGAAGGTGATGATGATGATGATGATGATGATGATGATGATGATGATGATGATGATGATGATGGTGATAGTGATATTGATTATGATGATGCTGGTGATGATGATGGTGATGGTGAAAGTGATGATGGTACTGATAGTGATACTGATAATAATAATACTACTAATAATGATGATGATGATGATGATGATGATGATGATGATGATGAAGATGGTGATGGTCGAGTGCTGAGTCACTGGGGTTCAGAAGCGGATGCTGCACTGGACCTACTGGATCTGAATCGGGAGCCGTCTTGGAGGGCTCTCTGGGCCGAAGTTTTCGAGGTCTCTGGGCTGGTATAGAGGCCCTCTGGGGCCGCTTTAGGGGGCTCTACGGAGCTTCGGGTGTCGTCTTGAGGCTGTACTTGGGTCCCTCTGGATGCATTTGGGATTCATCCTGTGGCCTCGGAGGCACTTCCGAAGCGAAAAAGTGCGATCTGCGAAATACATTGTTGTTGAGATTGCCTGACGATGTGGGCTTCTCGGGAGCCTCTTGGAGGCGTCTCGGGGGCGTCTTGGGAGCCTCTTGGGAGCCTCTTGAAGGCCTCTGCCGTCGTCCTGGGGCTGTTTTGGCTGTCTTGGCAACCTCGAGGGCCTTCTCGATGCAATGTCAGGTCGTCTTGGGGCTACCTGGGACCATTTTGAAATCCTCTTCGGCCGTGTTGGGCCCGTTTTAGGCGATCTGGGACACCCCAGGACACGCCGGTCTGGCCACGGGGGTCGAGGCAGCTGTCCAGGGGTTCTGGGCCGCGCCCCCCGGATGTCCTCCGAGACGACGTCGCCGATGGTTGGATGCAGCGGTGATGATGACGATGATGGTGATGGTGATGGTGATGATGATATGACGGTGATGATGATGATGAGGGTGGTGATGGTGATGATGGTGATGATCGTGATGGTGGTGGTGATTGTGATGGTGATGGCGATGGTGATGGCGATTGGTGGTGATGACGACGATGATGATGCTGCTGATGATGGTGCTGCTGATGATGATGATGATGCTGATAATGATGATGGTAGTGATGATGATGCTGAGGATGCTGATGGTGCTGATGACGATAATGATGGTGGTGATGATAATGATGATGGTAGTGCTGATAATGATGGTGATGAGGCTGGTAGTGAGATTGACGACGAAAAATACGAATGATATTAGTATGATGTGACAGGTGATGTTGATGATGATGGTGATAACGATGACGATGATGATGACGATGACGATGGTGATGATGATGACGACGATGACAGCGACGATGATAACGATGATGGTGATGAGTATGATAGCGATGAGGATGGTAATCATGGTGACGGTGACGATGATGATGATGATGACGATGATGATGATGATGATGATGATGATGATGATGATTGTGATGATGATGATGATGATGATGATGATGATGATGATGATGATGATGATGATGATGATGGTGATTGTGCTGCCGGAGATGGTGCTGATTAGGTTGATGCTGCTGATTACGAGGATTGTGATGCTCGTGAGGGTGAAGAGGATGATGATGCCGAAGATGGATATGAATGATGCTGGCGATGATGCGGGGAAGGGTGAAGTGCAAGAGTAAGAGAAAGAGTAAGATGATCTAGAGGAGGAACGGCAGACTCGGTCGAACGAGGAGAAGAGAGCATGCAGCCACATATCAAAAGCACACGCCAGCAACGCCGCGCGAGCACGCGCACTCGGAGATGTAAGACTGCACGCCATGCCTTCGAACACGTGGGAACATGCACGAGCGTACTTCTGCTTTCTCAGCGTGCATGGCATTACGCATACAGCCAGCACGCGCGCTGCTGCATGGTTTTGTCGCATGCTCTATCGGTCTCTCTCTCTCTCTCTCTCTCTGCTTGTGCACCTCCTTCTGCGGTGGTACTCGCGCTCTGCATGGATTGCCTCTCATCGGCCGTGCCCAGCACGAACTCGACTACGCACACTCGTTGAACAAGATGGGTTGAGCGATGGAGAGAATAGGGAATGGTGTCAGGAGGGGGGGGGAGTGCAGAAGCAGTGAGAGAGGAGGGGGACGGGGTGAAGAAAGTGCGGCGAAGAAGCAGGGATGGAAGCGGAAGGGAGAGGAGGAAGGAGGGTGGAGGTCACGGGGAAGGGAGACTGGGAGGAAGAGGGGGGGAGGGGAGGGAGTAGAGGGCACATGGTACAGGAAGGGGGGGAGGCGGAGAGGTGCGGGGAGGCAGGGAGAAGGCGGGGGTCGCTCGAGAGCCCCCGAGCCCAGAGGCCACGCAGAGGGGGGCCAGTCGCTGGCGTGAGCCCTGGGGCTGGACTGCGGTCACGACCCCACGTGCGCTCCCCCCTGCTTCTCCCTCTGCTCCTCCTCCTCCTCCTCCTCCTCGTCCTGCTTCTCCTTCCTGCTCCTCGTCCCCCCGCGCTGCATCGGGCGGCGTCGATGGGCAACCGCAGACTCCGCTTTTCGACGGCGCGCGATACTCCTCCGCCTCTTCCACCACATTCACCTTCACCTCCTCCTCCTCTTCCTCCTCCTCCTCGTCTTACTACTCATCCTCGTCCTCCTCCTGTTCCTCCTCCTCCTCCTCCTTCTCCTCCTCCTCACCTTACTACTCGTTCTCTCACTCTTCCTCTTCCTCTTCCGTCCTCCTCCTCCTCACACGGCTGCGCGGTGCGCAAGGCGGACCTGCTGGTCTGACCAGGCGGACCAGCACGACTGGGAAGACCCGGAGAAGGACTGGGCAGACCAGGCTGAGGACTAGGCGGGTCAGGAGCACGGGGCAGGTCAGAGCTGGGCAGGGGATGCCAGGAACGGGGATCGGCTACGGAGAGGGGAGGACGTGCCAGCGAAAATGGGAAGTGAGAGGGCAGGGGCGCGGAGGCACGGGAAAGAGGAGGAGGTGGGAGGGGACGTGGAGGGGAAGTGAGGGATGGGGGGGGGGGGGGGCGGGGCGTTCAGGGGGAGAGGAGGGGAGGGGACCTTGGGACCTTGGGGCGGGAAAGGGAAAGGGAACGTGGGGGCACGGAGGAGGGAGGGATGGGCAGGAGGGAACAGGGAGGGATGGGCAGGAGGGAACGGGGAAGCCACAGGGGGGGGAGGCTTCAGGGGGGAGGGGGGAGGGGGAGGGGAGGGGGCAGTGGAGCGGCAGTGCGACCGCAGGACCGCGTGCCACAGAGGAGCCAAAGTCGCGCGGAGCAGCCGCAGCCGCCCACGCGCTCCGGTGTCGGCGCCAGCATGGGGTGCAGGAAGACCTCCCAGGGGAGGCAGCGAGGGGGGAGACGCGGGAGGGCGAGCGGAGCGTGGGGGAGCAGGGCAGGGCAGGGCAGGTCCAAGGAGGAGGAGGAGGAGGAGGAGGAGGAGGAGGAGGAGCAGCAGAATGTTCGCGCACATCCCCTTTACTTGTCCCAATGCCTGCTGCACCTGTGTCGGGTCTCAGCTACCCGTTTGGAGGACGTCCGACATGGCGGACATTGTATGTTGCCGCTCCGTGCTTCTCTCGAGCTCGGCCACACTCGTCCTATTCCGTTTCGGCCTTCTGCGAGGGGAGGCCCAGGGCGCAAGGGGGGGACGCAACCCTCGAGCAGTACCGCACGTGCTGCTGCAGTTCCAGCGCTGCAGCGCTCGGCGTGCCCAGAAGACATGCGCGGGAGGGGAGAGAGGGAAGGAGGGTGCCAGTTCTCTGCTCCACGCGGTCCTCCTCCTCTGCACCTTCGTCATGGATCCGAGCATCTCAAACGTTGCCAGACCAGCAGCTGAGTGGTGCAAGAAGAATCGAACGTGCAGGGAAAGGAGGAGTGGGAGGAGGGAGTAGGATGACGGGGGTACGTGACAGGGATGGGGGAGGCGGAGCAGGAGGGAAGGAGCAGAAGGAGAAAGCAAAGCAGGGGAAGGAGGAGCTGGATGGGGCAGAGAACGAAGGGTGAGGGGAGGCAGAGGCAGAGGACGGGGACACAGAGGAGAACGGGAAGTTGTTCCGATGACTTGCGATGCGAGTGGGCTGGGGGTGGTATGTGCGGTGTAGGCCTCCTCCTGTTCATCTTCCCACTCCTCCTGTTCCTCTGCTGCTGCTCCTCCTCCTCCTCCTCCTCCTCCTCTCTTACTCTCTTCCTCGCCCGCACTCCCTTCGGACCTAAGAAATGTTCTGCGGATGTGGCGGCTGAGCCGAATCCGCAGTTCCGTAATGGCATCGCCCGACTGCCGTGCGTGTCAGTTCAACAGCACACCAATCATTGTCTCTCGCAAATGCTCTCCATTCACCCTCCATCGATCTGGCCGGACCACGTGACTGGCAGCCGTCAGATTCGTGCCAGACGCAGACTGCTCCAGCGACAGCAGCAACACGAACACGGACGATGACCTCGGGAAGAGATTTGGGATTTGGAACCGCCTCCCTCCTGCCTCACTTTCGCCCTCCGCGAGCGCATCGGCGGGAGGCTGCACAGTGCGAGCGCCCCTCGCTCGTCTTTCTTTCATCCCCCTGCCCTCCTCCTGACGGGGCAGGAGTTGGTTGGGGAATTTGAAACGGGCGTGGGTACCAGCAGCACAGCCTACCAATAAGAGCAATAGGAGCGCAGGGAGCCACTCGTGTTATTCAAGGCACACGCCAAAGGAGTATTGCGATCTCCCCAGTCGGGCCCAGCATCCTCCTCCTCCTCCACCACCACCTCCTCCAGTTTTCCTTATAGATAACTCCTCCCTGTCGCACCCCGAAGCCGGTCGAAAGGGCGGGCCGGGCGTTTCGCCAGAGACTTCCTCACCGTTTTTGATCCTGAAACTAAGATTTCGAACAACTTCGCGGATGCAGGCCGATCCGTTTCCAAAATGCAGCTCTCGCCTTAGCACCCGGCATATTCGTCTTCAAATGGTGCAAAGGTTTCACGGATGGAAGGCGGCTCGTTTTCAAAATAAGGCTCTCGCCATAGCGCCCGGCACATTCGTTGCAAAAGCTTGCAAAAGTTTCACGGATGGAGTGCGGTTCGTTTTCAAAATGTGGGTTTCGACCAAGCGCCGCGCACATTCGTCTTAAGAGTTGGCAAGAGCTGCTCGGATGGAGGGCGGCTCCTTTTCAAAATGTTGTTCTGGCCTAAGCGTCGCGCACGCTCGTCTCAAAAGCTTGCAAGAGCTTCACGGATGGAAGATGTCGAAATGTCAGGGCGCAACAGTCAAGTTGATTCGCGGTGTTGGCGTCCGAGGAGTGGTCTTTTGGCACGGTTCAGGATCGTAGAAGTAGCGGTGATGCACGGCGCTGAAACCCCAGAAATGGCGTTCAGGCACACTTCCGGATTTTCAGACAGTTGTCTTCCAACGGGGCATTTCCCTGAGTGGAACTGAATACGTGTAGGAGCCTATGAAGAGAGAACTTGGAGGGAGGGAGTATTGCAATGTCGTTGATGCGACATGGGTTTACACGTGTTCTCCTCCTCCTCATCATCATCTTCATCATCACATATCATCCACACCATCATCATCCTTATCATTATCATCGTCCTCATCATGCTCCTCCTCATTATCATCAACGATATCATCACTATTACTCTTTTTACCGTTAACATTGTAATCACCACCACCATTACCATCATGGTCATCACCACCACCACCATCATCATCATCATCATCATCATCATCATCATCATCATCATCGTCATCGTCATCGTCATCATCATCATCATCATCATCATCATCTTCATCATCATCACTACCATCACTATCATCATCATCATCATAATCATCATCATCATCATCACAATAATCCCCATCATCATCACTACCATCACCACCACCACCGCCGCCACCGCCGCCGCCACCACCATCATCATCAGCAGCATCATCATCATAGCCACCATCATCATAGCCACCATTATCATCATCATCATCGTCATCATTATCACCATCATAATCATTATCCTCATGACTATGGTCAGCATGGTTACCATGGTCATCATTGCCAGAATGGTCAGCATCGTCATCATCAGCAGCAGCAGCAGCAACATCATCTGTCGCGAGGCTCTCGCGCGGCCATCCCGGAGCTGTCTTGGGGGCCGCGGCCTCTTGAGGCGATCTTGCAGCCATCTTAGACCCTCTCGGTTGGGCTCCCGCGGGGTCGTCCAAGAGTCTTCGTGGGAGGTCCAAGGGAGCTTGTAGGCCATAGTGGTTGCGCCTTCTCAGTGCCCTGTCCTGGGCTCCTCCGCAGGCCCTCCTGGGCTCTCTTGGAACCGTTTGGGAGTCCTCCTGGAACAAGTTGAAGGGCACAGGGGGCTTCTTTGGGGCTTTTGAAGCCTCTTGTGGGAGCCCAGAGGAAGCTCTGGGCAAGCTTAGGGATGCGAGGTGGGACAGAGTCTGGAAGCTCCGGCGCCATGGTGGGGGGAAGACCTTGGTCCCGCTGGGGCCAGGCTTTTGCGCAAGTGAAAGAAGGCGAAAAGAGGAACATAAGGAGGAAAAGGAGGAGGAAGAGGAGGAAGAGGGAGAGGAGGAGGAGGAGGAGGAGGAGAGCGAGTAAAAAGAAGAAGAAGAAGCAGAAGAAGAATAATACTAATAATAAGAAGAAACACAAACATAGGAAGAATAAGAAAAAGGGTAGGATACGGGAGTGGGAGGAGGAGAGCGGGAGGGAAGAGGGACAGGAGGATCAAGACTAAGAGGCGTGTGTGTATGGATGGGCGGGAGCATCTGATGTACAGCATTATGCACAGGTGATTGCCGAGGTCGTGCTTCGGATGATATGCATGTCCCCCAGCTCGTTTGTTTGAACACAATAACCAGGACGATGCCTGTGCAAGCCAGGTGCGCTCCACGACATGACGCTGATTACTGGATGGGCTGGTGAAGCAACGAGGGGGCAAATCATACCACACGCAGGCGGGACGAGCAAGCAGAGGCACAACGCTGGGAGGACGACAGGCGAACGATGAGCAGCACTGTCGAATCCGCCGACCCCCGCTCGCTGGGGGTGAGGCATCCCCCTCCCCAAAGGTGCAACATCTCATTCGAGGGGGGGGGGGGATGCGGGGGGGGGAGGGGGCAGGAATTCGTCAACGCACCTCTGGGGCCTCCAGGGCATCCAAATCTACTCCCCGTGGCCTCCGAGATGCCCGGGATGCCACTTGAGCCGACTCAGGCTGGGCTCCGACGCGCCGAGGAGTCTTCAGAGATGACCAAGATGGCCTCAAGACTGCCCAGGAGGCCTCGAAGACGCCCCAAGAGGGCTCCGAGACGACTCCCAAGATGGCCTCAAGAACCAACAATCGTCCCAATCATTTTGGGAAACATGCATGTTTGGCAGATTCGCAATGCTGGTCTTAACCGCGCCCAAGACGGCTCAAGAGGCCCCCCAGATCGCTCCAAGACGGCTCAAGACGCCCCCAAGACAGCCCAAGAGGGTCCCAAGACGGCCCAAGAGGGTCCCAAGAGGGCCCCAACACTGCCCCAAGAGGAGCCCAAGAGAGGTAACTCGAACTTACATTCGGAGCCCTCCGCCGCACGAGGACCCCCCCCCCCGAGACCGCCAGCAAGCGTCCAAGAACCTCCTAAGAGGCCCGAAGAGGCCCCCAAGAGGCTCAAAAAAGGCCCCCAGACAGTCCCCTAGAGGCCCCAGAAGGCTCACCCGTGGACTCCTTCCCTCTCCTGGGGGTCGGCGGAATGGCGTAAGCCTCTTGAGTAGTGCCTGAGAGCATGCGGCGCTACATATTGCGCTAGAACCATCGCGCACGCTTCGCGCGTGCTCAAGTTCTAACTGGGCTTGATCGGCCAACTGATGTAATCTCATGTTGGTCGCTTCTTGCGTCCCGGGACTCCCTTGGAAGCCCTGCGCCAGCCTCGGAATCGTATAGAAGGGGAACTGCGGAAACGCAGAAATCAACAATTTCCTTGAGGTATTCCAAGGCTTCCTGTTTTTTTTAGGAGGTGAGGGGGTCTGAGTTGTGGTCTGTTGCGCAAGAGTAGACCGGGGGCCAAACTTGAAAAAAATAAGGAATTGTGAATTTCAATTTTTGTTCCAGTTCCTCGGCGCTGTTCGGCGCTGTTTTCTGTTTGTGCCTCGCGGGTTTTGTTAGCCAGGCCCCTCAGGGGTGTGGGATCTTCCGGACCCCCTGGGGGTTCTGGAGGCCTCCTGGAGGCCTGAAGAGCCGTCGGAAAGGTGTCTCGGGCTGCTCGGGAGCGTGTTGGGCCGTTCTTTACGTTCTGGGGGCTCCTTGGGGTCGTCTTGGGCCCACTTTGGAAGCGGGAAAACGTCAGAAGGTGAAAAACATTAGAAAAACAATGGGAAATCAACGATTTTACCCTCTTTGGGCTCTCTCGGGACGGCTCTCGCAGCTCTCGTGGGCTGTTCTTGGAGCCTCGTCGGGGTCTTTTTGGGGCCTCTCTTGGATCCGGGGGGCCCCGGACGGGTCCTGGAAGCCTCTCGGAGGTCTCTGGAAGCCTCCTGCTCCCGCTCTTGGGCCTATTTTGGGCCTGTTCTGGGGTGGTCTGGGGCTGTCCCGGGCCTCTCTTCGGCAGTCTTGGAGCCTTCTTGGCTCGTCTTGGGGCCGTCCTGAGGGTCTCTTGGGTGGTGTTGGGGCGGTCTTGGGGGCCTCTTCGGCGCTCTTGGACCATTGGAAGCTCGAAAACGCGAGCAACTGAAAATCGACGAATTGGGCCTCTTCGGGCCGTCCCTGGACGCCTCTCGGACCTCTCTTGGGGTCTCTTGGAGGCCACCTGGGAGCCTCGAGAGCCGTCCGAAGGCTGATTTGGGCTGCTTGGGAGCGTCTTGGACCACCTTACGTATTCTGGGTACTCCTGGGGCCAAGATGTGGAAGCTCCCCGGACAAGCCTCTTGGGCTCCTGGGTGGCGTTCTTGGGCGGTTTAGGCGTCTCGTCGGCCCCCTCGTGGGCCGTCTTGGGGCCCTCTTGGGGGCATCCTCGACCAGCTTGGGTGCCTCTTGGGCCGTGTTAGACGCAGTCGAAGCCCAAAAGGCGAGCACGCCAAACATATCAGTTGTTCTATAAGAAATCGAAGATGTTTGCTTATTTGGGGCTCTATTGGGGTGCCTTTTGGGGGCCTCCTGGGGGTCTCTTGGGGGCCTCTTGGGGCCTCTGAGGGCCTCCTGGGGCCTCCTGGGGACCTCTTGGTTCCTCTTGGGAGCCTCTGGCGCCGAAAGCTCGGCATGTGAATCTAGTTGTGCACCTCTGGAGCTCTCTTGGGCTGTCTTGGGGGCCTCTCGGGCCGTCTTGGGACCCTCTTGTGGTCGTCTTGGAGCCCTCTTGGGAGCCTTTGGGGCAGTCTTGGGGGCCTCTTGGGCCGTCTTGGACGCAGTGGAAGCCCAAAAGGCGAACACGCCAAAAATATCAATTTCCCAATAAAAATCGACGATATCTGCTTATTGGGGCTCTCTCGGGATGCCTCTTGGGGCGTCTTCGGGGGCCTTCTTGGCGTCACGGGAGTCGTCTTGAAGGCGTCTGGGGCCATCGCTGCGGCTTCCTGGGGCCTCCCTGCAGCCTCT